TGCTTAGGATATCTTTCAAACAATTTTAAAGTCTTTTTTTTTTAACTTCAGAAGCACTACTTTGTTACTGGAAGACAACTGAAGACAACTTACCTCCTGATAACTATCCAATCATCAGTTCTGCATTCCATTCTCTGCACGTAGCACAGCAAAACTTCTTAAAAGAATACCCTGATACAAAACTTTAGCAATAAGATTTCATACTGTCAAAATAAGACCACATTTTGTGATGGTGTAGCAATGGAAGACACCATATTTTAGCAAGTCTTAAGACATTTTGATGGGTCACTACAAATATAGTTTCATGTTGAGTGCAGCATCCTGAGTAACTTTTTCCAGATGAGCTAAGCGATCCTACAGGTGTGTACTGGGGCAGGTGGTCTTTTGGTTGATCTGATCTCAAGTTGTTTATACGGCTTTATATATTGACAGAGAGGGCAGTTTCCTCAGCACAGGTGTAATACGTGTGCATACAGGTACTTGCCTACAACCTGACTGACCATTTGGTACCAGTGGTGTTGTCCAGTAATCACTGATGACTCAGGTGTGAGCCCTCCTTGTTCCCAATTGGAAGGGAACACATAAACATTTTAAAGCTGAAGAAGGGACATTGGAATGCAGATAAGTTCTGCACCATCACTTCCTGCCTGTCAGCTCATGCCAGTAGGGATAAGGTGATATTACAGCCTTCAGATTTCACTTGCACACACCATTTTAGGATTGTGCTGTTAAAACTATCAGGGAACTTAAAATAACTATTGCTGTAATTGTACTTATGTAGAATATACACAGAGACTTGGGTGGCGCTGTGGTCTAAACCACAGAGCCTCGGGCTTGCCGATCAGAAGGTCGGTGGTTCAAATCCCTGTGACGGGGTGAGCTCCTGTTGCTCGGTCCCTGCTCCTGCCAACCTAGCAGTTTGAAAGCATGCCAAAGTGCAAGTAGATAAATAGGTACCGCTCCAGAGGGAAGGTAAACGGCGTTTCCGGGCGCTGCTCTGGTTCACCAGATGCGGCTTAGCCATGCTGGCCACATGACCCGGAAGCTGTCTGTGGACAAACGCCGGCTCCCTCGGCCTATAGAGCGAGATAAGCGTGCAACCGCAAAATTGTCTACGGCTGGACCTAACAATCAGGGGTACCTTTACCTTTACCTAGAATATACACATGTGGGTTGGTTTATTGCATATATTATCTTTCAACAGCTCTTTAGCAGTAGCAATATTTGTGAAATATTTAGGCTTTAATCCTATGGACCCTGGAAGAGTATCCCAAGGGCTAAAGGAGAGAATGAATCTCCCCCTACATGAGTGGAGATGAAGATCCAGGGCTGGAGCAGAAGCCCTACCAGCCATGGCATCCTCCTTGCAGCTGAGAAACGACCATGATGATCCCTTCTCCACCTTGGTGCTCTGTTGATGGAGAGGAGGAAAATGAAGTCTTCTAAGTGCATGCCACTGGTCGATTTCCTGTTCCTCCAACATGTCCCCTAAATTGGGGGAAGGGGAGGGTGAGCTACCATAATTATTTTCCTTCCCATTGGGATCATTGAGGAAGACCATTGGGATAGGGGGAAGATCTCACTCTGGGGAAGGAAAAATGTGTCTCTCACCTTCCTCCCTGCTAGAGTGACTCTGGATTGGATTGTGTAACATATATGGAAGATACCCCCAGTATCTTCGATATATGTTACACATTTTCCATACACGTAAAGTATTTCCCTCCTCCCACAGGTTAAACACCATCCTATGTCTTGAAAGCTAGAATAAATATATCCACCTACCTACCCCAATATTGCTTCTATTGCCTCACTTCTAATTTGACAGAAGATCTTTTTATAAAGTTAATACACATGGGTCTTAACACTGTGTTCCAAAACCTTGGCTCAAACTCTGAAGTGTGTATCATATCTTTGACATTCTTAAAAATCTGGCATTGCGTTATATTTACTTGCTATTCTTAGATGTAGACTAGGCATAGGTATATTGGCGGAAAGAGAGCAAAGGGCTTTATATGGACATATATCGTAACCTGTGAAGTTGCTGGGTTTTTGTGTGTTTTTAATGCTACATAGAGCTTGAAGGGGTTCATCCATTTTATTTTTTCATAACTAATTAATGGACAATTTAATGTGCCTGTGTACTCCTTCAGTTATTTGTTAAAGGGTTTTAAAAACTGCTAAATTGTCCTCTTAAGACAACAGGCATCCCACTGTGCTAAATGAATTTGAAGTGGAAGTTTTATAAAGTGGTTGTTGGTTCTTTGGGGCTTCTTGAATTTAAAAGATATCCTTGAGGACTGGAACATAACTTTGTTATTGGAAAAAGTCCCCAAAAAACCACAACCTGTATGCCTGTAATAAACTTTTGTTATTCAGGAAAATAAAATAAAATGCTGCCAACCTCTGAAAAGAAATTTCTGTGCACTATTTTCACAGGGCCAAGTGTGGGAATATTTGGGAAATGAAAGCTTGATTAATGACATTCATTAGTTTTCCAGGAAGGCAAGGATCATGTTTGACATGTTGGAATTCTTTGAGGGTATGAATAGCTTGATTGTAGAGAGACATTCATTGATCATTGCAAAACCAGATTAGGAGAAAGGATTTAACAAAATGCTAGAAGTGAGTTGATGTCGTTACAAAAAAGTACCACATATTATCTTTACAGTAGGAACACAGCATGCAATAAGTTAAATCTCCCTATTTTCCCCTCTATTTTTTCCGTAGGTTCAAAAACAAACTTCTTCTATTACATTCCAGAAGATTAGACCAATCTCAAAATGCAAGTGTCTAAGCTTCCCTTTGAGACTTCTGAGTTACGCCAATGCTGGGTCACACAACAGGTTGCAGCTGCACTACTGTGGGTGACCACCCACCATCAATGGTTTGAAATAGCTTTTTTCTTCTGCAATCCAGAGCTATTGGAATCGTTGAAAGGAGCCTTGCCACTGACTTTCACTGATGCCACTATAGCAGGCTGCAGTTCATCATCAGATTCTTCTCTGGAGGAAGGCAATGGCTGGGCTGGTTTCTCTCTCAGGGCCCATTTAGGAGCTTCACAAATGGCAGCCCTGGGAATGAGTTCAGGCATAATCCTGAAGGTGATGTGCACAGGATGCTGCAACATTCTGTGGATTTATAGTGCTGCTTTATATTCAATCAGCCCATATGTCCACCAATCCCATTGCAGTATATTCTAACTGGGACCAGTTCTCCAAAGACTCAGAAAGATTTCCTAGTTGTACTACTTTGAATTATTTAACCTAGGACTCAATGTATTGAATTCAAGGTTTTATACATACAAAGCATGTCCCTCTCCCCCATTAAAATGAAAGTAAAATCTAATCCCGGCCCCATCCCTACCAACCATTTACCAAATGGTAAATATTCTGGCATATCAATTATCGATAGCCCTCTCTTCACCTGGGTGGTGGGTGGCTTTCCTGAATGGCACCTGAGAGTCTTACTTTGTTTTTCCAAGGAGCTTGAGGTAAAATGCATGCACCACCCCTAATTCATAGTCATAAAAACTCTGTGAGATATATTAGGCTGGAAGGCAGTGGCTGGTCAAAGTTTACCCAGTGAGAGCTGTTTATGACTTAGTCAGGATTTGAACCTGGGTCTCTCCACTTCTGGATAACAACCACTTCATCACACTGGATATCATGGTTAGGATTTAATATTTGGTTCTCTGAACACTTTCATTATTGAAGAAGGGCACTGGAAATAACTGGGTTTTTTCCATCATGTATTTCTGATCCAAAGAAGCAGGGAACAAATTGCATTTTGCAACTTCTTAATGAAGTATTGAGCGGTGCAGAGTGGCTACAACGACTTTCACATCTGAAGAAGGCCTCTCCTTTTCACAAGCTGAAACATCTGTGAGCAACCACCACCAGAACAGCAACAACAAAGTAAGACGCAGGAAATGAAAAACAATTACATGGTATTAGAATAATTCAATTCCACCCAAGGGGGAAATAGAGATATGGGATAAATTACCAGGATTGGCCACCGGTGCATACAATATTGCATTCAAAGCAGTAAGAAACAGGTTTTGAGGAGTTACAAAAACAGAAGAAGAAAACCAACCCCTGCCTGGTGTGTAAATAAGGGACTTTCTTTTAAAACATTATAATCACATATTTTATGAGCCCAGGGAGAGGTTAATTAAGGCCAATGGAAACAAAAGTCAAGTGAGAAGGATTAGGGCTGCCACTATTCCCTCCCATACTCTTCTGAAAATTGGTGAAGAAATGGTGACAAAAAGGAGAGCAGTAGGTGGGTAAGATGAGAGGATGGGAAAGGCAAAAACCTGTTGTGTCACTAGAATCCTCAAGTTCTTCCTTCTTGCTAAGCCACTTTTCAGTGTAATCAAAGCAAGGCAGCATGGACTGAATGTTGCTTGAAAAAGAATACATACCTTTGTGTGTCTGCCTTAATACTGCTAGTCCCAAGTATTTGTGCTGGTAATATATTATGACAGTATGATTATGCTTCTGATAAATAATATGTAAACTTCAGTGTTGAACTGTCCATGAAGAGCTCTCAATAGATTAAGAGCTCCCAATACAGGTGCTCTTGGCACTCTCATTACAAACCTCTGCACCAGTATTGAGAGCCTTCTGCAGGGCCTGCAAGACAGAGCTGTTCCACCAGGCCTTTGGTCAGGGCTCAGCCTGACCCCCTCCTCTGGCAATCGGCAATCTGCACAGAATTTTGCTTGATGGTTGCCATTAATTTGATTTTAATTTGATTTAATTAATTTTATAATGAATGTTTTTAGAATGTCGGACTATTTTGATTGTTGTTAGCCGCCCTGAGCCCAGCTTCGGCTGGGGAGGGCGGGATATAAATAAAATTTATTATTAGTAGTAGTAGTAGTAGTAGTAGTAGTACAGTGTTAGGAGTAGGTTTGGCTTCAGTTGTCAAAACATCAGAAACTATCATCAGCAAGCAATTTCTGGACATGATCAGAAAACAATACTTTCTTTAGTTCCTTGTGTTTATTAATGGTTTATTGATCAATTTCACAGGGCAAACAAGACCTCTAGCAACATTACTCCTCTAAGCAGTCCCTCCACAGCTCCTCATCCACCCAGATATAACCCACCATTAGTCCTCTTGGTCATTTGGATGTGTTGTGACACAAAACTTTGTTGCCTTGAATGCACGTCAAATTTGCAAGATGTTTGGTACAAAAATGTGACGATACTCTGAAATCGCATAACAACAGAGAGCCTACAGCTGAGTTTATAGCATTGGATTTGTAATTTGGAAAGGAGATTATGAATTATAGTAGGGTCAGTTTACCCATAACTAAACCGAGCAGCCATTTGTAATATTTCTATTCAGTTCCACCGTGTCAATGTGAAATTTCAGTGATAAGAATTTGAACAATGGACATGGACCCATCTCAGTTTCTGTCGCCCTTATCTGGGCTGTTTTCAAGAGTGGCTTGAGGGAACATGCCACTAAGCTCTGTATACTGCCTGAAGGGTGGATCACCTTGAATCAGAGGTGAGGTCCAGGAGCATAACAAACAAGGCTGGCTGTATCTAGTGCAGCTAGAAGAATTGGTGTATAAATAGACTACCTCCTTACATATTCCAATTGATGGGTATTTTAGTTGCATCTTATAGAAGCCAAACATTCTTTGGCTATGGGGAGCTCTTGGTAACATTTAAATAGATTCTTTAACTAAAGCTATTGCATTTTGCCTGTAGAATCTAGCACACAGAGGCCCAATTCATGTCTCTTCACAGAACCTAACAGCTGGTATAATACAAAGCATAATTATAAAAACTATTTATTTAATGCATTTTCTGACTTCTGGTTCAGCCTAGTATGTTGCAGTTTTTCCCAAACTACAATACTGAAGTCTCTTCCTTGCCATTGGTTTCCTTGACTGAGCCCATCTGTTGTAGTTGGACAAATAGCCTGAGAGAGAGAGAGAGAGAGAGAGAGAGAGAGAGAGAGAATTTGTTGCCAAACATAAAACCAACTAATTCTCAACAACCCATTAAATAAATTTTGAAGGGAAGCCTCATTTCCATGTATCAAGAGAAATGTTTATTCGGTTTAAGGTGCTCGTTTCTATGGCAAATTATTATTTACCCTTAAGTTCCCAAGGTATGCTCAGTAATTAGGGTTCAATACCTCTTGGTTGATTAATCAATTAAGTCTGCACTCCTAAGAATGCTTACCAGGGTGTAAGTTCTGTTTAGCACAAAGGGGATTCCTTCAGGGTAGGCATGATTACAGTTGGTCTTCAAACTTGCACATAAGTACAACAAACAATGCATACATCTTTTGCTTTAAGATAATGAACATATTTGCTGTAGCAGCCAAAAAGGAGGCAAGACCTCAAATCAGTGCAGAAATAACTAGGAAATCTTAATGTTGTTGTTGTTTAGTCATTTAGTCGTGTCCGACTCTTCGTGACCCCATGGACCAGAGCACGCCATGCACTCCTGTCTTCCACTGCCTCCCGCAGTTTGGTCAAACTCATGCTGGTAACTTCGAGAACACTATCCAACCATCTCGGCCTCTGTCGTCCCCTTCTCCTTGTGCCCTCCATCTTTCCCAACATCAGGGTCTTTTCCAGGGAGTCTTCTCTTCTCATGAGGTGGCCAAAGTATTGGAGCCTCAGCTTTAGGATCTGTCCTTCCAGTGAGCACTCAGGGCTGATTTCCTTAAGAATGGATAGGTTTGATCTTCTTGCCATCCATGGGACTCTCAATAGTCTCCTCCAGCACCATAATTCAAATGCATCAATTCTTTGGCGATCAGCCTTCTTTATGGTCCAGCTCTCACTTCCATACATCACTACTGGGAAAACCATAGCTTTAACTGTACGGACCTTTGTTGGCAAGGTGATGTCTCTGCTTTTTAAGATGCTGTCTAGGTTTGTCATTGCTTTTCTCCCAAGAAGCAGGCGTCTTTTAATTTCGTGGCTGCTGTCACCATCTGCAGTGATCATGGAGCCCACGAAAGTAAGCAGGAACCGGCAAGCCACTCCAGTATCCCTGCCAAGAAAACTCCATTGACAAAGACAACAGGAAATCTTGATAGAATGTATCAAATGGCCAGCACATTTTGGTTTACACTTGCTTCAGGGGGTTGAACTAATGACCCTAGGGGTTCCTTCCAATTCTACTGTTCTATGATTCTATGAAAATAATACTTGCTGAGGACTTCAAGAGGGCATCAAGTCATATTATTTTGGCCCTTTAAAAGTTGTAAAGTAAAAAAGAAAACACTCAGCATTTTATCCCTTCCACTGAAGTGTTCTACATAAGGAAGTAAGGAAAGCTTGCTGGTTCAGGCCAACAGCCCATGTAGCCCAGCATCCTGTTCTGACATTCCCAACCAAATGCCTATGGGAAATCTGAAAGCAGGTCTAGAGTGTCACAGCAGTCTCCCCACTTGCGATTGCCAGCAATGGGCATTCAGAAGCATACCACCCTAGCAGTGAATGTAGAGCATAACCATTGTGGCTTGTAGCTATTTATAGCCTTAGGTAAAGGTAAATGTAAAGGGACCCCTGACCATTAGGTTCTGTCGTGGCCGACTCTGGGGTTGCGGCGCTCATCTCGCTTTATTGGCCGAGGGAGCCGGCGTATAGCTTCCGGGTCATGTGGCCAGCATGACTAAGCCACTTCTGGCGAACCAGAGCAGCGCACGGAAATGCCATTTACCTTCCCACCAGAGCAGTACCTATTTATCTACTTGCACTTGACATGCTTTCAAACTGGCAGGAGCAGGGACCAAGCAACGGGAGCTCACCCCGTCATGGGGATTCGAACCACCGACCTTCTGATCGACAAGTCCTAGGCTCTGTGGTTTAACCCACAGCGCAACCCGCGTCCCTTATTATAGCCTTATCTTCCATTAATTTGTCTAATTCTCTCTTAAAACCATCTAATTTGGTTATCATTGCTTCTTCATATGGGAATGAATTCTATAGTTTAACTGGGTGGTGTGCAGAAATGCTTTCTTTTTACTTACATGTTTTATCCCCGGTTTGAAGCCTTCTTATTTTCTCACTTATGTTCTGGTTCTCTCTCTTTCTCTTGCTCGGTCATCTTAGAAAAGACCTGCCCTCCTGTGTGTGAGAAGAGAGGTTTAATTAATCAATTCCTCAATAAACTGTGCAGTTCTGTACAAGATTTCACCACCCAATTTTGGGCATTTTCCCCTTTGCACAGCACCTCCCTGAGACACAAGACTACTCTGTTTCGAAAGGGTGCAAGGAGCTCCAAGAGGAAGGGAAAGATTGGTTATACACACTGCTTTCTACTTGCTCAGCCATTGGATGCAAGCCATAGAGAATAGCTTGTAAAGCCATTTAAGCTCAATTGTGCAGACCAAAGATCCAAAGGTTCAGTCCTGCATTGCCTACTGTGGCCAACGAAATGCATCACTAACAAGGCTGTTAGGCTATGTACACAAACAAGGCTGTTAGGCTATGTAGTTCCCTTGTCATTGTCCCCAGAATGTGGTAGCCTGACTAGCCCTGGCCATTACATAGAATGAGGGAGCTGTCTCAAGTGGAAGATGCTGGATGGTTGGGGCTGCTGGCAAGGTGTTAGAGGATGGTGGTAATGCTGCTGCTGCTGCTGCTGCTGCTGCTAATGATGATGATGATACTTTTGTTTTTTATACCCTGCCCATCCAGCTGGATTTCCCCAGCTTACAGCTCATAAAAAATTGTAAAACATTAGACATTAAAAACTTCCTGATACACGGTTGCCTTCAGATGTCGTCTAAAAGTCAGATAGTTGTTTATTTCCTTGACATCTGATGGAAGGGCGTTCCACAGAGCAGGCACCACTACTGAGAAGGCCCTCTGCCTAGTTCCCTGTAACCTCACTTCTCACAATGAGGGAACTGTCAGAAGGTCTCAGAGCTGCACCTCAGTGTCCAGGCTGAATGATGGGGGTGAAGATGCTCCTTCAGATATACTTGGCTGAGGCCATTTAGGGCTTTAAAGTTCAGCACCAACACTTTGAATTGTGTTCAGAAACATGCTGGGAGCCAATGTAGGTCTTTCAGGACCGGTGTTATGTGGTCTCAGCAGCCACTCCCAGTCGCCAGTCTAGCTGCCACATTCTGGATTAGTTGTAGTTTCTGGGTCACCTTCAAAGGTAGCCCCACATAGAGCATATTGCAGTAGTCCCAGCAGGAGATAAGCATGCACTCTGGTGACACAGTCGGTGGGCAGGTAGGGTGTCAGCCTGCATACCAGATGGAGCTGGTAGACAGCTGCCCTGAACACAGAACTGACCTGTGCCTCCATGGATAGCTGTAAATCCAAAATGACTCCCAGGCTGCACACAGGGACACAGTTACCCCATTCAGGACCGGGGAGTCCTCCTGCCCGTGGTCCCCCCAAAGCAGTGCAGTAGTACCTCAAGCTACAAACGCCTCAGGTTACAAACGCTTCAGGTTGCAAACTCTGCTATCCTGGAAGAGTTACCTCGAGTTGAGACTGTTTCCCCAGGATGAGAACAGAAATCGTGTGCCAGCGGCGCAGCAGCAGCAAGAGGCCCCATTAGCAAAAGCACGCCTGTAGTTAAGAACAGTTTCAGGTTAAGAATAGACCTCCAGAACGAATTAAGTTCGTAACTAGAGGTACCACTGTACTTCTGTCTTGTCAGGATTAAACCTCAATCTGTTAGCCACCATCCATCCTCCAGCTGCCTCCAGACACTCACACAGAGTGGGTCCTAGTTGGCCTGGCTGGTGCCCCCTAACCTGTGGGAATGTTCTGGGGTGCAGGAGAGGATATATTGACTAATTATATCCTTGTCCAACTTGTGCTAACAAGTTCCCAAAATATCAGCAGAGTTTACATACATTCCCCTTTTGTACGCAACGGTAACGTGTGCACAGGTTCGCTAGAACCTCTATAATAATTACCCTGGTAATTTCCCCTTTAGTTCCCTCTTAAAATACAAGACACGACACAGTCTTCATAAAAGTATAAAAGAGTTTACTCACGTCCTGTTCACAATGTGATCCCAGACGGCAGACAGGCTTAAAAAGGTTACATAGATTTAGAATCTATCTCATAGCAAGATAGGCCTTATCTCCTCTCTTGGCTGGGAGCCAAGAGGGCATCCTTAGGTGTTTCCTCGTCGAAGGAAAATGGCAGAGAGAGAGAGGGTCTGCCTGCCCTGTGCTTTTGTTATTACCTGCACAGGTGAGGCCACACCCACCTCTGGTCACATGTGGAGGAAGTCCGTCCCCAGGAAGTTCACCTGCTTGCTGGACAGACATCCCCCCCATGTTCTAGCATGTACACTCTAGGAATGTTGTCATTGACTGCTCCTGTGTTTACATCCCACATACCCCTTCTCAGGCAATACAACATACACAAAACATAAACAACTTTATTCAACCACCCAGAGTCCCAGCTTGACACGTAGATTCTGGAAACTCTCTCTTGGTAGGGGTTTCGTCAGGATGTCAGCAGTCATCTCTTGGGTACTGCAGTAGGATAGTTCCACAAGTCCATCCTGGATCATCTGGCGTATGTAGTGGTATTTAACCCCAATGTGTTTTGTTCTGGCCAGGAACTTCTCACTCTGCGTCAGCTTCAGGCAACTTTGATTGTCCTCCAGCAAGCTGACAGGCCCTTTTCTCACCAACCCAAAGTCCTTTATGAGTTGATCAAGCCAGGCGATCTCTCTGCAGGCTTCTGTTGCTGCAACGTATTCTGATTCTGTGGAAGATAATGCTACACAGCTCTGTTTATAACTGCCCCATGCAACAGGTCCATCCCCAAACATGAAAACATGACCACTTGTTGATTTATAGTCAGCATTATCCCCAGCCCAATCCGCGTCAGTATACCCAACCAACTTAGGGTCTCTGACAGCTGGTAACCTTAATTTACAGTTCATGGTACCCTTCAAATATCGCACCACCCTCTTTACACCTGCCCAATCATGCTCAGTGGGAGAATTCACTTTTCTGCTAAGAATCCCCACAGCATTAGCTAAGTCAGGTCTACATGTGGTAACTAAATACAAAAGTTTACCAATCGCCGACCTGTAGTCATTGTTGTCTGGCAACTGCTTCGAATCCTGCTGATTCTTCAGGAAGTCAGTAGCCATCGGTGTAGCAACTGGATGTGCGTCTTGCATCTGCATGTGCTCAATTAGCTCGTGGATCTTCTGTCTTTGGCTAAGAAGAAATGAGCCGTCCTCTTCTCTTTCCACCTGGATCCCGAGGTAGTATTGGACATCTCCTAGCTCCTTGACCTCCACCTCTTTGCTAAGGTGTTTTACTATCTGTGTATAGTCTTTCTCACTTGCTGTGGCAATAATCAGGTCATCAACAAAAGCTAGGATATATGAGAATTGTCCATTATTTGACTTACTGTACAAGCACTTGTCAGCGTCGCCTTGCTTGTACCCAAGTTGCGTCAGCATTTTATGCAACTTCTGGTTCCAGGCTCTAGCAGCCTGTTTAAGTCCATAAAGTCCTTTCTGCAGCTTGCACACTAGATGTGCCTCATGTGGTTTTACAAAACCCTTGGGCTGCTTCATGTAAATTTCCTCTGAAATCTGCCCATGTAGAAAAGCGGTAGCAATGTCAATGTGTTTCACCCTCATTTTCTTGGAGGCTGCAATGCTTAAAAGCATTCTTACGCTGCTGTACCTCACAGTTGGTGCAAAAACTTCATCGTAGTCTTCACCAAAACGCTGTGAAAATCCCTGTGCCACAAGTCTAGCTTTGTAGCGCTGCACTTCTCCTTCTGACCCCTTCTTAACCTTGAAAACCCATTTACTGCCAATGGCCTTCTTACCGGGAGGCAGCTCAGTGAGTGTCCAGGTCTTGTTCTGATGCAGTGCATCCATCTCCTCCTGCGCGGCCTTCCTCCAGAGACTGGCTTCTGCAGCTGGCATCTCCTGTATCTCTTCCCAAGTGGAAGGTTCCTGTGGAAACGCCGACCCTGCAAGGTAGGACAACCGTACTGGTGGGACACCTCTGTTGGTTCTGGATGAGCGTCTGACCTCTGGTTCTGCGACCGCATCAGCTTCCTCATCCTCCTCCAACGCAGGCATGTCCCCATCTGAGTCCTCATCTTCGTCTCTGGTGCCGCCAGGGTTCTGGTCCTCTGCGTCTTCTGGTGCATCGCCTGTAGGGGGCGCTGTAACACTCGAAGGCAGATAATTACTTTGTGGGGTCTCAAAAGGGAAATATACAAACTCTTGAGTCCTTTCTGACTCATCTGAAGAATCCACAACAGTGTTCTTAGTGTCTACTTTTCCATATTCATCAAAATAAACCGCATGGTATGCATTTGTCTTACCAGTTTGTAAGTCCATAATTCTGTATCCTTTGCCTCCAGAAGCATATCCCACAAGGATACCTGCTTTTGCCCTGGAGTCAAGCTTGTGTCTGTGTTCCTTGGGCACGTGGAAGTAACACGGACTTCCAAACACACGTATGTGCGACAGATTGGGAGCTTTCCCATGCCAAAGTTCAAATGGTGTGCGCTCTGCACCTTTAGTTGGCAGTCTATTCTGCAAATAGACCGATGTGTACACTCCTTCCGCCCACAGCTTGTGTGGCAAACGTGCATCCTTTAGCATGCACCTTGTCATGTCCATAATGGACCTAAACTTTCTCTCAGCTATGGCATTCTGCTGTGGTGTGTAAGGAATTGTGGTTACGTGTGCAATTCCTTCTCTGGCCAGGAGAGTCTGCACTTCATTTGAGCAGTACTCACCTCCATTGTCACTCATTAACACAGCTGGAGCTCTCTGGAATTTGTTCTTGACCATGGCAATGTATTCCTGGAGCTTGTCCACTGTCTCACTCTTCTCTTTGAGGAAATATACAACACAAAATCTTGAAAAGTCATCCAGAAATATTAAAATATATCTATTCTTTCCCAGTGAGGGAACATTCATGGGTCCACATATGTCAGTGTGCACTATGTCAAGCACTTTGTTGCTTCTTTGTTCTGCACAACGTGGAAATGAAGGTTTTACAGCCTTCTCAGTAATACAGCTTATGCACTTTGCTGGAGCTTTGTTGCTCTGCTTTACCTGCAAACCTCTTACAAGATTTCTTTTCTGTAGATCCAGA